CACTCTCTCACTCACTCACTCACTCTCTCACTCTCTCACTCACTCACAGGCCCATACAGTCTCCAGCTGTGTGCAGGAGAGAACATTCAGGGGCCGGCGTGGAGCAGGTTCAGTTTGCGGACTCTCACTCCCCCCTGTGTGAGGCTCAGAGAGAGTGTTGGTGGTGGTGGTGGGTCGGGTGTTAGAATAGGATGGTGTGAGGATGAAGGGGTGTGTCACCATCATCATCAGCAGCATCACACTCCACTCAGACGAGAAATAAGAACTCTGCACTTCCTAATATCATCACGCCAGAGCTCGAGTCAATATTTGAACTTTTAGCTGAAATATTTCAGCAGGAAAGTCTGACTGAAGCCTGAGAGTAGTAAAAAGTAAAACCCTCCCTGTTGGCTTTTATCTGTGCAGCATCCATCTCAACAGCTGCTGTTTTCAGCTCTGGGGTGCGGTTGAGCCTTTCCCAGCCGTATGCACTGTATGTAGGCCAGTGCTCTTGCAACAGACATCACACAGGCTGTTATAGAACCAGTAGGCCCATAACAGGGGGAGGAAAGGTGCCTGTGTCATGTCATTTTGAATCAGGAGTGGCTTACATTCACAGTGTGCATCCTCTTCCTCTGTGCCACCACCATGCATGGAGAAAAGTCTCCCCCACATTTATTTGCCACTGTGATCGGTGCACAAATGAACTTGCTTCTCACCCCCTTTTCCTCCAGGACCGGAAAATGCATCAATTTAAACTGATGCCTTTTTCTTCTGCATGGAGCTGCATGCATAGATGGGCAGATAGAAAGATTGACCCACCTAAGCGAGGCGCTCCTCAAGCTTTACGTCCCTGTTCTATTTTAAGCCCTCTGTGCGGACCGATAGCCTGCTGGAACGGAAGATCGATTCATTGCATCTAAAGAAGGAAATGTTCAATATATAGCTCCGGCTCTAAGTGGCTATGCATCATTTTCTGTACTGTATCAGAAGCTGTGGTGGATTCAGTCATGTCATACAGTAGCAGGCTGTCAGCACATACATGTCTTGGACTGTATTGGCTTCAGCGCCGTTCCCTCTCATCACTGTTTGGATGGAGATTGCTATAGCTAAGCAATGTGTGTGTGTGTGTGTGTGTGT